CCAACACAACATCCTAAGAACCCAAAATGTTTTAACTGAAGACTCTTTCAATCCTCTTAAACCAAAAACAAGCCCCATATCCAGTTTTGATCACATTTTAAGCATCACAGAAGTAAATTTGTTTTTTCACCTCACAGACTGAAGACTTTAGCCTCCAGCAGCAGCGTTCACGGCACAACTCAAAGTACTTCCTTCAATTCTTCACAATAAGAGTCTAAAACATAAAAGTGCTGAGAAAGTGTGCTAACCCAACTGCTGGGTTGAGGCTGATGGATATGAGGTTGGGTCGGTTTAACCCACCGTTGGGTCAAGCATCAGATTGGGTTAAGATAATGTGTTGGTATTTTTCATTTAGTGAGTGATTGGTTTATGGTTTGATAACACTTTCTATTTGAGGTTAGTTCAATAAAGGAGTGTATTATTCATATTTAATAAAGAAATAAGAGAATGCTTGTTTTTGTTACACTCACTCAAACATAAGGCAACTTTTCTAAATAAGATTAGGAGATGCTGTGAGAATAGATGGAAACCTGAGCTCGTAGACCCACAAAATTCACTTTTCCACCCGAGAGCTTGGAGAGCCTTCCGAAGAATGGCCTGGGCCCTGGAGCGGCGGACCAACGAAGAGCACTGACACTTAGAACTGATTTACATTTCTCAGACTATAGGGACCCTCTTAGTCCTCTTTTCCTTCCTTTCACTGATAGATTAGCTTTTTATCTTTTCTTTTGCCACCTAGCTTAGTCCACACCTGACATGCACTCATACTAGGAAAAGGGAGGTTCTTCCAGAGATAAGGGGGGCCTGAAGCACATACGGTTTTTTAGACTCTGCACTACAACACCACTTCTTTAGGTGCACCGTTCAGAGTGGCTTTGGTCACTTTGGAAGGAGCAAAGCTGCAGTCCCAGCCAGACAGCTCCAGCTTGACATATTATCTGGCAGCTCTTATGGGAGAGGTACCATTTTGCTACCTCTTCAGGGGTCTGTTGTAGTAATAATTTATCTACGTATTTATTTGATCTGGGACAAGGTTTAGGTTATGTCTCCCTGAAGTATGCTAGAGTGTTTGTTCTGGTTAGGAATGAGCGAGTACACCACTATCTGTAACTGTTCAACCATCTAAATGATCTGTATCTGTACTTGGAGTGGGCGTGGCATAACCCGGAAGTGGGTGTGGTTTACATCAATACATTATTTAAAGTCTGAAATATATATGGATTGATCAGAAGTTGATATGTGTATTGTTTATTTGAAAACTATTTACAGAGCAGCCTCAGAATTGAGATTAAATATTTTTGACCACAATAGAAAAGGAACTATTACAGAACAAGTTTTTCTGTAAAATCAGAACATTGTTATTATTTAAGTGCATGAATTAATACATCTGAACTCATGCAGTAGGAACTAGGAAATATGAAATACTAGAACCAGACACAACTTTTTTTATTTGATTATTTAAATTGTAAATAATTTGATTCCGTCTAAGCTGAAGCACCCTCTGTATCACTCATTGTATGAGAGAGAGAGAGAGAGAGAGACAGAGAGAGAGAGAGAGAGAGAGAGAGAGAGAGAGAGAGAGAGAGAGAGAGAGAGAGAGAGGGAAAACCCGAGCAGAGCGGAGGAAGTGACCAAGCTCAAGCCATTTTCAGCTCTGTCTTGTCAAATGCACCACGTAAGTTACGAAAAAAGTAACTTTGAATATTCAACCGAAAAAGAAGCGAGCTGAAGAAAACCTACGCTGGACCAATCCAAGTCTCTTCACACAGAGTGTGGTGAGACCAGTTTGCTGCTGCTGTGCTCCTTCGAAGATGCTGACTGTTGCAACAATATTCCTTCCCACTAGAGTCCACAATGTCAGACCTGGGCTCAGCACATTTACGAACAACAACTGCAGGAGCCCATCTGGCATTGCCTGGATGAGGTTGCATCATGACCTCATCACCTGGAACCAAGGGAAAATGATGAGTTGGGATTGATGTTGGCCTCTTCTTGTCATGGTGGAACTTTTTTGGAAAGCCTTGGACTTATCCAGCCGCTGCTTAATTTGGTCAGGGTCATGCAGTTTGGGGACCAGAAGCAGTTTAGATCTTGGTAACAAGTTTCTTGGCCTCATGCCCATCAGCAGCTGTGCTGGTGACAAAGAGAAGGGGTGTTGTACAATAATCCAACAATGCTAGATGCTTGTCCAGAGCATTGTTACATTGTCTTTTTACTGTCTGCACAGCACGTTCAGTCTCTCCGTTGGAGTGAGGAGTGTGAGGTGATGATGTGCAGTGTGAAATACCATAACTCTCACAAAAACCTGTAAACTCCTCTGCTGTGTACTGCAAGTCATTGTCAGTGAGCTTTCAGCGTCTCAGTGACAGCTCGACTGTGCAGGTCTTTGAGTTCATCTCAATGAATTTGGAGTAGTAATCCACTAGCACCAAATATTGGGTGTGTCCGAATCCACAGGCAGGATGCTTATGAGTACGGGTCCTCGCCGGTCTAGTAAGGCCGGGTCCTTGCTAGACCGCTAAGAACGGGACCCAGCGGCTCTGAATTCGGACAGTCTAGCCTTCACCTCTATGGTGGCCCGTAGGCCCCGTCACAGCCGTGGCGGCAGCTACACGCAAAGGAAAAATGCTAAAGCTAGCGAAAATCGAGCAGGAATATTAAGGAGTTACAGCAGCTTCACGTCCATCAGCAGCGTTTGTTCACAACCGTTTTCAGGTAAAGTAACTTTGTTTATTCTAGAAGCTTTCAGGACTTACATGTTAACTTTAGATGGTTTCATGTATGTTTTATGCTACAGAATGAACTTGTTAAATGTACACAACACATTACTACAGAGTATTATCATGTAGGTAATTAATATAAACCAAATGCTAGCGGCCCATCAAAGACGAAAGCAGCGTGACATCTGAACCTTTCAAACTCTTGATACAGGTCGGCAGCATCCCAGTCAATCTTTGGACGCTCAAACTGAGGCATATGGACGGTTGAGAGATTGGGGGGGGGGGGGTTGGTTCGCAGGAGTTTTTGACAATTAAAATTGTGCCCATATTAATAAGTTAAACACATTTCATTTAACAACAATATTTTTCTGCACCTTGCTTCAGCCCTCTCCCCCCTCCCCCTGCGCAGCGGCCGCAAACTCACTGATGCGCCTGCAGCCTCTCGGAGTTCCTGCTGCTCTAACCATTAAAATAATTATTTCGTTTTCTGTTCCTCACTTCTGATTACCTTCAATGGTGTCTGTTTGTTGCAACCACCAGGTACAAAAACTAACGTGTTTTTATTTGACTATTTTTCTGTCCTGCTTGTTTATTATCTCCCTGCATCTCCTCTCAATCCTAAAGAAAAACTGCTACCTGGGTTCATATATATTCACCTTCTGAGTTACCTTTGAACTACAGTTCTAAAAGATCTACCGACCGCAAAAACAGCAGAGTGCTCGCTGCCGCACCAGTGAGGTGCACCACCGGAGGACATAACAGGTGATACGCCCCGCTCCACAGCAGCAAAACGCATCAGGTGCAAATAAAAGACAGAAAACATCAAAGGAAATGAGCCGACATGAACGATCGCGTGTTAAATTAGTTTTTGAGGTGGCGACACCTGATTTGATAATGTTACTGTGGCCGTGCTCAGGACGCAGATGTCTGGAGCGCGTCAACAATCAGAGCTTTGCATGCGCAAGCTGGTTAAGGTTAGGATGGGGGTGAGGGGAAGGTTAAATTGCAAGAGGGTAAAGGTCACAATTCGGTCAAATGTCCATTTTACCGCGGGCGTCAGACACTAAAGCTCTAGCTGGCACAGCGCGTCGCCTTCCAACGTGCAGGGGCTAGTAACCTGCTGTCTTTTTCGAGGACTGCATCTTGTCAGTCATTATCACGTGACAGCGACTAGTCGATGAAAGGCATAAAAAGTCACTACAGAGCAGTGAAGTTGACTAGTTGAAACAACCCCTACCGTGGCTCTGCACAGGAGGCAGCTGCCTGGAGCACATCAGCGCTCTGCTGCTCTCCATCCTCTCTGCTCAAAAGAATTCCCAGTGTGTTGAGAGTCCATATAAATAATGTAATAAAGGCAGAAACAGGATCTTTTTGGGCTTCCCCGGGATCTGTAAGTTGACAGCTTCTAGGGCAGCCTGTGACCCTTTCAGGGGAGTCGGCTCTCCTTAGCTCTAATTCCGACCCTGCTGCAGTTGCTCTTAAACAACCCATGCCTGGCTCTGTCCTTTTTTCATTCCATAACCCAAACTGGGTTATTTCTAACCCAGCACTTGTTATTGTCCATACAAACATAATAGATGAATATGTTTCTGCACTAAAATACAATAGAATAGCCGTTATTAGTGTACAAGCAAATTGGAGTGCCACTCCCTTTGGTGCAAAAAATGTAAAATAATACAAAAAATAACACAATAATGATATAAGTGAAAATCAACAGTAAATGAAATCAGAGAACAGCATTGTGGGTGGCTTTGGAGGTGTGGAGGCACCGGTGTGACTTCTTAGCTGCTGCACCTCATGTTCTATAAAATACATTTCTAAAGCCCACAGCTGGTTCTGGAGCTGAATTCAGGCTGATGTGGCATTATTACTCCTCCTGGAGAGGAGCGTGTGTTTCCTAATCCTGCTGGCTCCTCCATCACCTCCTCACTGATGCTTAATAAATCAGTTTTCAGTAAAAAAATACATCTGTCCCAGTCGCTCCTCTTGGGGCATTCTTTATGCATAAAATAATGTTGGTCTAATAAACTCTTAGGAGGAGGTGCGTCCTCAGTGCGCACTGGACAGGGGGTTGTGGATGGTTCAAGTCCAGACTCAGACAGGGACGGAGCGGCTGCTTGGAGTTTATTCCAGGTAACGCAGGTAACGCGCGCGCAGCGCAGAGGCGTGACCCTCTCACTGACAGCGGCTCCAAACACAATCTGGTTCCCATCAGAACCAGCGGGGTTCTGCTGCTGCGGACTAGCGGACGGTTAGTGTTTCTGTAGATGTCTCACCTGGGGGGTTCGGAAGACCGAGGAAGCCTGATTTTCCATTTATCCAGATAAATTTGTGATCCGGGCTGAGGCGCAACAGGGATTAAACCCTCTAGCGCTAATCTAGTTTTATTCTGTGATAAAAGAATGGACAACTACAGTGTGTGGATTAATTTAACGGATGTTCTGTCGGAACTGGACGGGATGGACAGGGCGGAAGAGGAGGATGGAGGAGAAGGTGGAGGACTGCGCATCTTCTTGGGCTGCTTCCTGTTCCTGCTCATCGTGTCCACGCTGCTCGGGAACACGCTCGTGTGCGCGGCTGTGATCAAGTTCCGCCACCTGCGGTCCAAAGTGACCAACTTCTTCGTGATTTCGCTGGCGGTGTCCGACCTGTTCGTGGCGGTTCTGGTGATGCCGTGGGAGGCCATCACAGAGGTTACCAACACCTGGCTGTTTGGAGGATTTTGTGACGTCTGGATCACCTTTGACATCATGTGCTCCACTGCCTCCATCCTCAACCTGTGTATGATCAGCGTGGACCGGTACTGGGCCATCGCCAGTCCCTTCAGGTATGAGAGAAAAATGACCCACCGGGTCGCCTTTGTGATGATCGGAGTGGCGTGGACCCTGTCCATTCTCATCTCCTTCATCCCGGTCCAGATGAACTGGCACCGGGCTGAGGAGGAAGAATTGGTGCTGGCCAGGAACTTCAACAACACCAGCCCCATGGCGTCCATGAGCTGTGTTGCCAATTTGAACAGAACCTATGCCATCTCCTCCTCCCTCATCAGCTTTTACATCCCTGTGGTGATAATGCTTGCTACCTACACTCGGATCTATCGCATTGCTCAGACCCAAATCCGTCGCATCGCATCATTGGAACGGGCAGCGGAGCAGGCCCAGTTCCAAGGTCATGGTGTGAACAGCAACCAGCAGCAGAACCGGACCAGTGATGAGGCCTCCTTAAGGTCATCATTCAAGAAGGAAACCAAAGTTCTAAAGACTCTTTCGATCATAATGGGGGTGTTTGTGTTTTGCTGGTTGCCGTTCTTTGTCCTGAACTGCACTGTGCCTTTCTGTGACCCCCCATGTGTCAGCGACACCACCTTCACCATTTTTGTCTGGTTCGGGTGGGCCAACTCATCCCTCAACCCGGTCATCTATGCGTTTAACGCAGACTTCCGTCGAGCATTTGTCATGATTCTGGGCTGTAACCGCATCTGCTCCAACAACACGGTGGAGGCTGTGAACTTCAGCAATGAGCTGGTGTCTTACCACCATGACACCACTCTCCACAAGGAGGCGCCAGTTCCTGTCCAGCCACAGCAGTGTCCTCGCAATCTGAGCATGGGTTCTGACTGCCTGGAGGACATGAGTGCACAGTTTGAAGAGGAGTCCAACATATCCAATGGTTCCCTAAGCCAGGACAGGCTGATGCTGCTTCCAGTTGCAGTCCAACTCCAGGACAATGCAGAGATTTCCTTGGAAACAGTTTCACCAATGGCATCAGTGACAGAGCTGGAGAGCAATGCTCTGATGCCAGGGCAGGTGCAACAGATTGATTATAGCTCAGGAACGGCTGACTGACAACCAGGATGAGACAGAAAGTCCACCTCCTTCAGATAGACTCCTTCATGTGCTTTTAATAGTGAAGCTTTTATTATTTATCGGTAGCTACACTGTGTTTCTGCAAACAAAACTCTGATTTCCCACTAGAAGCCCCACCCACTCACCTGGCTTGATTTGGGTGACAAATAAAATCCTTGTTGAGTCATGATGAGCTGGTTCCGAACTCCATTAGAAGAGGTAGGGGATGCCCTAGGTAGGTTGACTTAGGGTAATGCAATTCAACACAACACGTCATATTTACTTTGTGCTGGAGACTAAGTGTGTGTGTGTGTGTGTGTGTGTGTGTGTGTGTGTGTGTGTGTGTGTGTGTGTGTGTGTGTGTGTGTGTGTGTGTGTGTGTGTGTGTGTGTGTGTGTGTGTGTGTGTGTGTGTGTGTGTGTGTGTGTCTGCTCTGTCTTCTCGATCCCCAGTGAGTCGTGGTGGATGGCTGCTTATACTGAGCCAGGATTCTCTGGAGGTTTCTTCCTGTTGAAAGGTTGTTTTCCTCTCCACTGTCGCTATATGCTTGCTTATGAGGATTGCTGTAAAGACTCTTAAACCAGTCAGTGACTTGATGCAACGTGCTGGGTTCCTTTTATAGGAAAGTTTTTGCTGATTGGTGAACTGTATTGGAATGTTTGTCTTAATTCGGCACTTGATAAATAATTTGACTGGAATAGAATTGAATGGGGCTATAACTATTTAATGGGATTATTTTCTGGTCTGCTTTCCAAATGGCCAGGTTTATAGTGGTTTTCTCCATGTTTAATGTTCCTTTCATCCTGGAAGAAGGATGTGAAGCTTACTAAGTTCACAGCCATTTTTCTTCTCCGTGTCTGGTTTGATGGTGTAAATATGGTGAGATGAGCATTTATAGTTCACTTCGTCTTTTCACACAAAAACCTAAAACAACTTTTGCTACTGTTCAAAAACAAACTCTTTCTTGCTATCAAAGTGTGTCTTTAAAATTCACGGATTTGTGAAATCTATGGCACAAAACAGGATTAGAAAAGACTCCTGTTCTTTTTTTTGGTTGGTAGGAGACCTGCGGACCAGAAGTAGATGGATGTGACGTAGGCTCCCTATAAATATACTACAGTCATCTGTATCAAACAGTGCAAAAAATCCTAACTTTATTTCTGTTTTAGCACAAAATAGTGGTCAAAAACTCATTATTCTATTTAATCTGTTAGCAGTTGAGATTAAGTCCCCCCTACCAGTCTTAAGCTGGGCGGACACTGCAACCTTTTCTCTCGTAGCGTTCAGCTTCAGCTCAAACTTCCCCGCAGAGCAAATCTCATGAGTCATGTGCTCACACTGTATGTCTGGTAGCAACACATCAGACCTAAAAATATGCTAAAAATAGCAGTTTTTACAAAGCATGCCAGACTTTTTATTGTGTTGTCATTGATGTCTGTTATCCTTCGGGATGGCTGTAGGACACATGGAGATTTATGAGGGTTGGAGGAGGAAGACAAAAGAAAGAAAGTAAATCAATGTTTTATAAGTTTACATTGACATAAACACGCTTTCTTGACAATCCTTGTCATTGTGTGTAAAAAAAAAAAGAGTGTATAAGTAAAAACGACCAACGTGTGTTAGGGACATTGCTTGCATGTTTGCGCATGCGCCGTGAGCGGTTCTGGTACTCTTTGGATCGCAGCTGCTCGCAGCGCCGCTTCAACAGTGCGATACCCTCACGAGGAACGAGCAAAATATCAAACACGCCAGAAATTTGCGTGAGCTTACGATTGCTGATTGGTAGATGTTCACGTAGTCTTAATCGCCTAATACACGACACTCAGCGCAAAACTTGCCCCGATCTTGTAGATTCTTGCACAGGAGGAAAATCGGCTCAAAAAGTGAAAAAGTCATACAGTATATGCCCGGCTTTACTCACCCCACACTTCCTGTTTGGAAAATGCACCAATAGGAGGCGTTGCCAGGCGGACCGTGAGGGCGGCGCTGTGGCAGTGACTGACGGCACTCTAAAAACCCCCTCCCCTGGGGGACAGGGACTGGGATGATCCTTATAATGCAGGTAGAATGTTTTTATTTTAAATAAGATAAACTAAAATGTCCCAAATAACCCATGTCTGCAGCACTATTAGTCACTCAGCTATAATATAATCAGCAAACAGTTGTTGATTTGAGAGTGACTGGCTCTTTAAAATGTCTTTGGTCAGCTCATTAGAAGTCTGTCATGTTTTATCAGCATTAGTCCCGCCCACTGACTGATAAGCAGGTTGGCAGATAAAATATAAAAAAAAATGTGATGAAAAGCAAAACAGGCCATTAAATAAAAGTAAATAATTTTTCGACTTCCGATGACGTCACCGTAGCAACCGGTCGAGCTTTGACCTGCTCCTGTTGGTAACTCAGCTAAATCCTTTAAATTAAGAAGAAACGCCCCAAAATACGACAACGTAATAAGCGTTAGACCCACGATGCCTGGACCTGGTAAAACTACCAAGGAGAGGACTAAGTCAACCACACAAACCAAGTTATCGGGGTTTAGCGGTGAAGCTAACGTGTCCGAGGCCTGCGCAGCTGACAAGCCAGCCAGCACGAGTGAACACGGCCCCGCGGATAATGACAAAATGGAGGAGAGGCTGCAGCGTGCCATACGAGAGGAGTTTGCAGGTATTGAAAGCAAGCTTGCAAACACGCAAACTGCACTTTGGGACAAGCTGGAGGGCGCAGTGGCCAAGTTTTCCAGTAAGGCAGATGAGGTTGTGGCAGCCATGAATGAAATGCAAAAAAAAGTGTCTGAATGTGTGGGGAGAGTGGAGGAAACGGAGAAACGCATTTCAAATGTAGAAGATGAGCATGTGGTGATGGGGACCACCATTTCAAGATTAGAGAAAGAAAATAAAGTGTTGATGGATAAATTAGTGGATTTGGAAACCAGATCCCGACGCAATAATCTCAGGTTGGTCGGAGTTCCAGAGGGAGAAGAGGGTGCGGACGCCTGTGGATTCCTGGAAAGCTGGATAACGGATGTATTGGAGTTGAATACAACAAGGAGCCCTCTGGTCATTGAGAGAGCACACCGCATTGGCCCAAAAAGAAAGCCTGAGGAACCTCCAAGAACATTAATTATGTGCTTTCTTAACTATAAACAGAAAGATATGGTGATCAGAGCAGCAAGACTGAAAAAAGATATTTTGTACAAGAACGAAAGGGTGAGATTCTACGAGGACGTCGCCACAGAGGTGCACAAACTACAGAAGAAGTTTGGGGTAGTACGACAACAACTCTGGAAGATGGGACTGAGGAGTGGCATCGTAACACCAGCTAAATTGATAGTAACATACAAGGAAAAAGTCTACAGATTTGACACGCCAGAAGAAGTCCAAGGTTTCATAAAGAAGGTCCAGGAGAACAAGAGATGAGGACGATAATATAAGGTCTAACATTTTGGGGTAATGATTCATTTGGAAAAAGATATAGATAACTTCATCAAAGTAGAAGGTAATTAAGAATAAAGCGATTTTCTGTTTTTTCTTTCTTTCTTTCTTTTTTTTTTTTATCTGCACAGTTAACTGGATAGGAAGAATGATAATTTTCAATCTTTTATATTATACTACTTTTTTACATTTCATTTTTATTTATTTAGTTATTAATTACGATTATTATTTTTTTAATTATTGAATTTATTCAATTTTGTTTAAAGACAGTAAAAAAGTAGTTAATTATTAAGGGGCAGTGGAATATTAGCAAAGCTTAAGGATTCATTAAGGACACAGGGAGCAGGGAAGAGCTAGGCATAATGCCAGTCATTTAAGTTAGCAGATCTTAAAACGGGGATCTGTACATGGTTAAAGTTGGAAGTGGAACATTTGAGTGGGTTACCCAGAAAATGGGTGGGTGGGGTTTTTTGTGTTTTTTCTTAAGTATGGTTTGTTCACTTAAAGTTCGTGTTTTGTGTTCCGTTTTGTTCGTACTCTCAGACAAGTTTAAGCATTTAGAAGTGCATGTGAGGTGTGATGACTCGGGAACTGGAAGTTAAATGTACCTCTTGGAATTGTAGAGGCTTAAAAAGTACTAAAAAGATTAAGCAAGTAATGACCAAAATGAAAGATCTGGAAGCTAAAATAATTTTTCTTCAGGAGACGCACTTGCTGGAGGAGGAACATATTAAGGTTGGCAGGAGGTGGCAAGGTTCGTTGTATGCAGCAACATTTAGATCCAATGCTCGGGGAGTAATCACATTAATACATAAATCAGTACCTTTTCAGGTTAAGAATGTAATCAAAGATAAATTTGGTAGGTATTTGATCATCCAGGGATTACTTATACAAGAAACCATTAACTTAATTAATGTATATGGACCAAATACAGATGATGATGCATTTTTTACTAATCTTTTTCTCACAATTTCATTACTCCAAGGAAAATGCATCATAGGAGGGGATTGGAATTGTGTACTGGATCCCTGTAAGGATAGACCAACTGGGACTGACCAGGCCCATAACAAAAGCCGAAAAACAATTCTTAACTTCATGAAGGAACTTCAGTTGATTGACATCTGGAGACAGTTAAAACCTGACGATATAATTTTTTCCTGCCATTCAAAAACATTTAATACATATTCCAGAATAGATTATTTTTTAGTATCAGCAAGCCTACTATCAAACATAAGGACATGCTCATATGACAGTATATTACTATCGGACCATGCTCCCTGCAATATCATATATACACATAAAAACTTAATAATGGAACGTAGATGGTGTTTACACCAGAAATGGCTGAATGATGAAGAATTCCTCACTTTTGTAGAAAAAGAAATAGATGAATATTTTACTATAAATGGTTCACAAACATCAGCTAGTATTAGGTGGGAGGCATTTAAGGCATGTTTACGGGGAGTTATAATTGCATATACTTCATCGAAATCTAAAGAAACATGTAAAACAAGACAGCAAATGGAAAAGGAAATTAAAACTCTAGAGGAACTAGTATTCAAAAGTAGAGACCCAGTAACAGAGAAAAAATTGCTAATACTAAAAGCACAATACAATAAAGAATCGGCAGATAGAGCGGCTTCGAACATTTTGAGATTAAATCAGTCTTTTTATGAACAAGGAGAAAAACCTGGAAAAATATTGGCATGGCAAATTAAACAATTGGAAGTGCAGAAAAATATAACATCGATTGTAAGCAGCAAAGGGGAAATGATAATAGACCCGATGG